AGCTGACCTGTGGGTCAGTGTTCTATACTGGAAATTCTCAACATTTTCTTGGCTTCACAGAAACTTAGCTAAATTCCTTCATTATTATGTTGGATATTAGAAAAGGGATGAACTGACATATTCATGATCCCACGGTTCATTTTTTTTTAAATAATTTACTTAGCTTTATTTAATGTGCTTTTGTGTGAAGGTGTCAGATCCCAAGGAACTGGAGTTTAGACAGTTGTGAGCTGCCATGTGGGTGCTAGGAATTGAACCTGGGTTTTCTGGGAGAACAGCCAGTACTCTTAACCACACAGCCATCACTCTGGCCCAGGTCACATACTTCTAAGTGAGATGAAACTAAAGGACCACTCATCTCAAGATTTCTAGTAACTGATTACATTCTAGTCAACACCAAATTATATTATTAAATATTATTTTTGTGTTGTGTGTTTAGTAGTTTTATATAGGCTTATCTACTATGCATTTATGAAAAATGGGATAAATAGACTTTATTGCATGATGTGTTTACAACTGCATAAGTCAGAAGTAAGACACCAACAATATTTGTAATTAGTGTCATCTAGGAAAAAACACAGTAAATGTAATAGTTTTATGTAATGCTGAAGTTGTATGTTGTATTTGAATTAAGGAAAATGTGAGATTGCCAAAGCTTAAATTGTGACCATTCTACAGTTAACATTAACATAATACCGTTTATACATAAACTCTTATTTTTCTTATTCCAACTTCCATAATTAGAATGAGAATTATATGATTTTTAGTTGACTTTTTAAATTTTAAAATGTAGCTTAAATGATTTCCAATTAACAAAACATATTTGGTATTAAAATCAATTGCTACAATATCAGTTTTTTAGACTTTAAAAGTATACTTTTTTATTTTAATTGCATTAGCTAAGATATCATTAAGGGATTATTGTATATATCATTGTATTTTCATCAATGTAAATATATATTGACTTATTAAATACTTTCTTTCAAGAAACCTATCACTTACTGTTGTCAGATATATGAAGCTTGGACTAGAAACGGTCCTTCCAGCACAGTGCTGATGATTTTTCTATGCCACAACTTCTCATCTCCTTATCAATAAATACTCTGATGTTTCTTTATCGAAGAGACTTTCCTTGACAAAACATCCTAAAACAGCAGCTGCCCTTCCCCCACCCAAATCGAGCCCTTGACCCTCATTCCTCCTCAGTGCTAATCACCAACTCCATGTGGTTATTGGTCTAATTCTTGTCATGGTGCCTTAGCACTCTGAGGGGAAAACATTGCCTCTTCCCCTTCGGCGGCTCTGCCATGCTTACCACAGCACCCTGCCTAACTCCAGTTTAAAGGCACGTACTGACACAGCATGCATGTTGGCACATTTTCCACATGAGGAGATCATCAGGAGGAGCACTTTCAGGTTAGATGCAGGAGCTATGCCAAAACCGATTTAAAATTAGAGTCAAGGAATTAAAACTAGGAAAAAAATGCATCTCTGCCTTCTCGCAGGTAAATTTAATAATATATTGTAACCATAAACATAAAATCTGCTCACTTAGTATAGACTGTGAACTCATCTCTTTTAACACATATTTTATGTTCATCTTTTCAATCTTTACATTGAATTTTCTGGGGAATTTAATCATGCACACCTGTCAGAGTCCCAGAGGAACTTAGAGAATAACTAAGAAAAACAAGACAACATGTTGTGAGCAGGTTTGTTCACTTTCACTTCTAATTTTTAAACACTTGAATGGTGAAGCAGTACACGATGATTCATTCCTCAGTGCCTGTAGGGATTTAACTACACTTCAGTGAGATCCCAACAAAACTAGTGCATTTTCTCTACTGTTAAAGTTTTTTTTTTCTTTCTGTTTATAAGCTTGAGATGTGAAAACCATTCAGGAAAGTGTTGTTTGATTCCCCACCTTATTAAACAAAACCCTAGGTAATGTGAGCATTTGTTTAGGAATTAAAAAACATCTTTTTGAAAAGAAGTTCTCTACTATCTTGTAGTTTACCTCTCAATCTTTCAGATAAACTCAAAAACCATCAAAGACTTCATTCCCATGAGGACCACAAACTTGATAGAAGAGAAAGTCAGCTGAGCAATGTAATGCATGAAAAGTCTGTTAGTGCTAAGTGCTGGGAAGGACAGCAGGGCAGGGATAGAGCACTGAGGAGACAGCAGGGGGCAGCTCTGCCATCTCACAGGCCTGGGAAAGGATCTCACACCGGGAACATTTGGAATAGCAAATGTGAAGTCTCCTAGCAGGAGGTGGCTTGCCACTGAAGGAAGAGGACAGAGTCATTGTGTCTAGACAGTGGTAAAGAAGAAGGTGAGGCAGCCACTGTAGGCTCTGAGGTTTTTAGACCTCATTCCAAGTGATCATAAGCAGATGCCAGAGCATCCCCTGACTTTGCCTTGAACATTCACCTTGGTGGAGTTGAGTCACCAGGGATACTGAAGCAATGAACGGTTATTTTGTTGTACCTGTTTCGTGAAAGCCCCAGACACCACCAAGGAGCCGGTTTCCAATACAAGCACATAAGGGCCCTTTCATTCAGGTTCAACCTGGGCCACCGCACAGCCACAGATGGAAGGCAATGTGGCAGCGACCACGAGCCCAGGTGGAGAGGGTTTTTATAGGGACAAAACACAAACCCGGAATTGGCAACTTGGGATTGGGTAGAAGGGGAAAGGTGATTTTTTGAAACCATTGGTCTAGACTTCGGGCGCAAAACCACATTTGACATCATTGGGTTAGACTTTTGGCGGGGAACCACAACCCGCTGAACAGGATTATCTGGACTGTTCAGCAGTATTATCTAGATATCTTTAAAGGGCCATAAACTGCAGGCAGGATATCTGCAGAAGGATACTGCTCTGGTCCTTCCTGGAACTGAGTACAGCAGGTGGTTTGAGATGGTGGCCCTTTCCCTAAGATGGAGCCTGTAAAGTTAAGTTCTAGGCCTTCACATTTATATCTCACTAATCAGGTATAAACATACCTGAGGTTAAAATGAAGATATTTTACTGAGAATGTTGTTACTTTTCTTAAGGATACTTCAATACTTCTGAGAAAATGGAACATGTATACAACTACATTCTTCAATGGCTTAGAGGTATAGAATGTTTGAAATGGGAAATTTGTTTTAAAAGTCTTATTTCCCAAAAATATACTATAAAGTAAAAAATTCCATATTGATTGCCAAAATTTATACATAGACTTCCTTGTTCTTTTCTTCATGTTATACTGGATCCATATGTATATTTGTTTACATAGACACATGTAATTTTAATTACATTCTACACATTGGAGAGAGCACATAGTTTATGTAGTTTTTTTTTTACTTTGTTTTGATTTTTTTCTTTCTGATAATATGTGAGTGGATGAGGAAGAACTGAATGAGCATGGTGTTATGAAAGAGGATATAAAGCTAATTGTTTTCTAATTTTCATTCTGTTATGAATTTTTCTTCTGTTTTTATAGTGTCTAAGAAAATAAAATATATTCAATACCGAAAGTGTAAAATTTAATGTGAAGCTCCATAGCTTCTGTTCCAAATGACTATTCTAACTGTAGGAATTCATTGAGTTGTAGAGACTTTGGGTCAGCTTAATTTTAATGTGATTTTTTACTTTACTTGTAATAATTTTAATAATAAAGTTTATAAAATAAAAATTCCTTTCTTAGTAGCTCCAGACTCATAGTGACATTTTTGTGAGGATCCATTTTCTCTGGTGGAGACAGAAGATGTTAAAGGAGCAAGATGGTCAATAGGAGGGCTATGCAGTTTTTAGGACCACAGCTGTTGCTGCTGACTCCTTGGATTAGGTCTGCTGCCCTGGAGGTGAGAGGTCAGGGGTTAGGACAGTCCAGGAGGACAAGTGTAGCCCTGGATGTACTCTATCAGAGGGAGGATAGGCTAAGAGGAGAACAAAGAGATGGGTCCTGAACACTAGGAAAATTTATCAATTAGGAAATTAAGAAGTATACATGAAAGGAACCAAGAGGAAACAGCTAAGAAGAGATGATGTTTAAAAAAATGTTAATGGCATTGTAAAAGCCATGAGTAGATAGTACTACAGATAAATTCAAGGCAGAAATTGGTGACATTTTAGATAGTAATCCTTTCATGCTGGCTATTATTCTTTTTCTCCATTATGATCAGCTATTTCTTTTTTTCATTAGTAAGAACATTTAACACACAACCTTCTATCTCAAATATTTAGGTACCGAAGACAGTATTATCATCTGTAGGCTCAATGTGATGCATCTAATCTCCAGGTTTTACATATCCCAAACAACTGAAATAATACATGTTGATTAGCGACTTCCACTCTCTTGCTTTGGGTGCTTTTACTAGATTTCTTTCTAACCTCACTTCTTCGCCTTTCCTTGTTTCCCATCTTCTGTCTCCGAACATTTCTACATGATGCCAGGTACAAAAGCTAGTCATGAAATAACTCGATTCTACCCGTGATCCTTAAAGTCCAAATTTGAGTTGTGGTCCTCTTGGAGCAATGCTGTTGCTTCAGGCTATTACATTCCAGTGGTTTAAATTGTTTCTGTAGTTTATCATAATGGGTACAACTGAGATATGTAAATTGTGATCATTGGTGGAGTCAGGTTTTTTTTTTTTTTTTGGTGGATTTTAAAGTCTGTACTATATTAAATAATTATTTTAGTTATTTTAATTTGTGTGTGTGTTTGTGTGTGTGTGTGTGTGTGTGTGTGTGTGTGTGTGTGTGTTTGTGTGTACATATGCATGTGCCTGCCATGAAGGGCATCAGATTTCCTGAACCTGTAGCTAGAGGTGGTTGTGACTCACCCCATGCAAGTACTAGACATTGAATCTGGCTCCTCTGCAGGCTCAGCAAGTGCTCTTAACAACCTAGCCACATCTCCATTCCCTTGGTAGTTAAGTTAACAAGCACAAACTAGTCATTTTTTGAAGAACTGGAATGAACTTAGCTTTTGCTGTCTCTTCCTTTTCCAGAAAAATGTGATGAGCCGCTCATCTCTGGGCTTCACCACACGTCCTTCAGCAGCTCCTCCTCCCTGTCCAGCAGCTATTCACCTGGCTATGCCAAGATCAACAAGCGAGGAGGTAAGAGACGCTTGATTCCTTTGTGATTAGAAACATGGCACACCTGGAACTGAGCATTGACAGATGCATTAACACAACCAATATTACCAATCATGTAAACTCATGATTGTCAATCCAACTAGATGACCTACAAATATCGTGTGTGTGTGTGTGTGTGTGTGTGTGTGTGTGTGTGTGTGTTCCAAATGAAACAAGGTAAGTCAATGTGTATGACATTTGAAGTCATCTCTGGAAATATGTTGAAAACAACACAAACATTCTTTCTTAAAGAAATACTTTTTGGTCCAAAAGTACTTAACCAAATCAGATGATTTTTTTTTTTTTTGGTTTTTCGAGACAGGGTTTCTCTGTGTAGCTTTGCGCCTTTCCTGGAGCTCACTTGGTAGCCCAGGCTGGCCTCGAA